ATTGATCATGGTATTGGCAGTCTAATGGCGTTTACGGCATGTCTGTATGTCTATTCTGTGATTTTATATGATTTTTTGAACATATGCCGTTTTTGGTCGAAAACTCAGAAATCATGACGTCACTAAAACCTCGATATCTCAAAAATTTTCCGACCGATTTTTTTGAAACTTTGTCACAATAAACTTCAATCAATTCTCTACAGGTACCCAAAATTTGGCGCGCCTGCGGCGCGCCGTTTTTATGCTATGGCCCGGCGAAAAAAGTGGGGGCGTTTAACGCCCCCCCCCCAGCAACTCGCGGGTTAAGAGACGGATTTTTCATATCAATTATTTTACATAAAATCACATTTCAAACCATAAATAATGTTCGACAGCCAAATAAAAGAAACAATACCATTACAGGCTTACAGTAAGGCTCGACATTGTGTTGTCTACGATTAGACAGCTGATAACTCATTCCCGTACGTCGTAACTCTATAATGACCTTTGCTTATTGTCACATGTGCGCCGCATTCGCGATTGTTGCCGACGCCTATTTGCAGGTCAGCCCACTACAGTTGTTATGCATATCGAAAAACCGATAAACTTTTAGGCGAAAAAGGCACTATTCCAGGCCCATTTTTGATTTTCTTTGCGATATTAGGTAAAAACAGAAGCTTCTTATCCTAGGAAAAATAAAATGGGAAATCTTTCAAAGGTGGCACACTACCTTTAAAGGTAGTGTGCCAGCTTTCCTGGACCGTATGGAGTTAATGCCCCAGATAAGGAGAACCGGATTTTTAGAACTTATCCATACCTTCAAAACTCATGGAAACGTCTTAAATTCTTCAAATTTTGAGTACCCCAGTGCGAAATTCGCCCCGACGGGTTGTCGGTCGTACCCCAACCACATTTCACACCACTGTGAACAATAAATGCACACACTGAAATCGCTATTACCGATATGCTCATCCAATCAAGTTTCGATAAACCCGTTCATCATCATCTCCTGCGGTTTCGAACACGCCTGTTAGGTGGTGCGGTAGACCGCGCCCAAAGCCAGGGCCCCGGTAACGTGAGGTAGCCGAGTCGGGGCAGCGTGCGCTGACCCAAGCCGGGGCCGCGCGTCCTCCCGGTGTCATGTGATAACCCGGGGCTGCCTGCGGGGATGCGGTAGACCGCGCCCAAAGCTGCGGCCCCGGCTTGGGTCAGCGCACGCTGCCCCGACTCGGCTACCTCACGTTACCGGGGCCCTGGCTTTGGGCGCGGCTTCTGCTCATACTTTGTGGTGCGGTGGTGGTGCGTCGGGCCGCGCGCTCTGACTTCGGCCAAGAAAAATGCGTCAGCTGATCATTGTCATTTCTGCCACTTGCGTGTGGTGAAATGGGGTCATAACTTAAGAGACGGCTTTTTCATATCAATTATTTTACATAAAATCATATTTCAAACCATAAATAATGTTCGACAGCAAAATAAAAGAAACAATACCAATACAGGCTTACAGTTTAAGGCTCGACATTGTGTTGTCTACGATTAGACAGCTGATAACTCATTCCCGTACGTCGTAACTCTATAATGACCTTTGCTTATTGTCACATGTGCGCCGCATTCGCAATTGTTGCCGACGCCTGTTTGCAGGTCGGCCCACTACAGTTGTTATACATATCGCAAAACCGATAAACTTTTAGGCGAAAAAGGCACTATTCCAGGCCCATTTTTGATTTTTTTGCGATATTAGGTAAAAACAGAAGCTTCTTATCCAAGGAAAAATAAAATGGGAAATATTTCAAAGGTGGCACACTACCTTTAAACTTTGTGAAGTCGGAAAAGAAGATATTACTTCGAGTAATGTAATCATCTTCCATTCGGTAACTATCTCGGAGATCTGCTAGAGCCAGCATTATTTCTTTCCAGAACTGATTTCGAAGTCCATTTGTTTTCTTCCTAATCGCTTCTGCTCCTAAACCCCAGATAAATCCTATTTTTCGCATTTCTTTTTCTACAATTTCGCCCCAAACATTGGGATTTATTATTGCTCTCTTAATCCAGCTAATCTTTAATGCCGATATATAAGAGTCCAGGTCAACCATGCCAACACCCCCCTTCAAAGTACTTTTGACCGTTGTTAACCGGTTTATCTTATCATTCTTTCCATTCCACAGAAAGCCAAATAGCATTTTCTTAAGACTCTTCAGCACAGCTGTTGTAGGTCTGGGAATTGACAGAAACAGATAACTGACTTTTGAAAGCAGGAGAGTTTTTATAATTGTAACCCTACCTTGTAACGATATATTGCGGTATTTCCATCTTCCTATTTCTCTTGCAACGTCATTGATTTTGTCATCATATGCCTTTGTAACCTTGCAGAGATCATTTTCGAATGTTACTCCTAGAATTTTAACTGATTGACACCAATCTAATGAAACTTTCCTTTCTAGGTATTCCTTATTTCTGAACACTTCTCCAATCCACATTGCTTTACTCTTCTCTAGGTTTGGGCGAAGTCCAGAGTACTTGGCAAACCAACCAAGCTCTTGAAATAGTGCTCTTAAAGGGACTATCCCATCTTTAACATGGGGTTTGAGTTGAGATAGCCAAGTTTGCGGCGAGGTTCAGAAACCACTATCTACCTAGGTTGCAACCCCCGCGGCCTCTTGGTGTTGAAGAAATTCGTTCCCTTCATTTGAAAATGGGCCTTGCGCAAGGCCCTATCTTCAACATGAAGCGACCGTTAGTGTGACGTCACCTCGTTTAGTCATTCTGATTTAAATGGGTTTGTTCGTTGAAAAATCGCTTAAAACTTGGTCTGAACTTTGTTGTGGTGCCTACAGAGTAAAAAGAATCAGCTTTATGACAGTAATGTGGCCTGGGGAAGGAGGTTATTTTGGGCTGTGACGTCACATATTTGAAAGTTTGTGTTTGGAATATGGGAAGCCTAAGATGTTTAATGAAAAATAAATGCCAGAACCGTGTTCCTGGTCATCCAATCTATAAAGTCGGGCACAATTTAACTGGTTTTAACAACATTTTAGAAGGTGGGATAGTTCCTTTAAACTATTTTCATCAGGGTGTAATAAACACACAGTATCATCTGCGTACATTGATATTTTGTGCGCTCTGTTACCTAGTTTCACGCCTTTGATCTCACGATTCTGAATGATCTTGTTCGCCAAAATTTCCATCACCAAAAGAAATAGATAGCAGCTCAAGGCTTCGCCCTGTCTACACGATCTGCTTAGTTTAATTTCGCCAGAAAGATGCCCATTGTAAGCCACTCGTGCTGTTGATCCAACGTACAAAGCATTGAACCAACGTATTATATTAGCGGGAATGTCTTGTTTTTTCATTACCTCCCGGAGAAAACTCCAATTCACAGAATCAAAAGCTGCCTCAATGTCTGACAAAAACAAAAACGAAATATAACCATACCTCGACATGCCCCATAGAAAAACTAAGCAATCCACGAAATACCCCCCAACATCACCCACCGTAAGTTCTATCGAGCGTCATCGCATTCAGGCGCCTATGTAGTTATATTGAAAAACATTCAAACCAGAACTTACACGGAAACAACTCTCACAACCCGAACAAAAAATGATCATTTAGAAGAAATATATATTAGGTTACAAATGTAGCTCTAATTATGGTCGGTTGATCGAATAACCAAAAAGAAAAAACTATAAATAACACTGAATGATTCCAGCGTAGGTACGAACGTAATCATGACCTTATTAATTGGTAGGTAGAAGGTTACCAGACCCTAAAACACCTTTACCCAGCATTACTCTAAAACCGTACATATATTGTTTTACACAAACAGATGCTGATGTAATGGTGTGTGCATTGATGCATGTTTCGTTTTGACATATATAAGCCGAATTTGTACACTGAAAAATACTAAAATGGAAAAATGCATGCTGGTTTAACCCTCGCCGGACCTAATGGTTTTCTACATACATACGCCAAAACCGGGGATTGACTGGCTGGCTGGCTGGTTGGTTGGTTAGTTGGTTGGTTCGTTGGTTGGTATGACACCCGCCCCCCCCCCCCCCCCTGGTCCCTGAGGTCAGGTCAGGTGCCCCAAGGCACGGGTTCGGTTTTGGGTAAATAACTTCGCCAAAAATGGTCTCAGAGTCTCGAATTTAGGATCATCGTGTTTGTCTAGCTCACGCGCGTTGAATGGTATATTGTTTGTGCGGTTGAGGTCAACTTAAGGTGTTGAAGGTCAAGGTCAGGCCAGTGCCCTCAGGTCACGAAGTTGGTCAAAGGTCATATAGAATATCATTCGATTTGGCAGGTCTTCCAGCGTCTATTGGTGGCTTTCCCGACTCGCTAGCTCAATTTCCTTGGGAATTGACGAAAAACTCCTATGACCCCAGCGACGTCATAAATGACGTCATGCAAGGTCAACAATGCAAAAGTGAAGCATTGGAACTTGCAAGTACTGCGTGAAATCACGATTACATGTGCTTGAGCTAGGTTTTGGTCAACCCCGGCGTCATAATAACAGATTCCACATTTCCCAATTGTCTTATAATGGTGAGGTCATGTGAACGACCTGACCGCATGTGACCTTGACGAAAAATCCGAGATATACAAGAGGTGAGACCTCAGGAGGATCCTAAATCCCGTAAGTTTCATCTCCCTGTGAAAGCTCGTCTGGCACCGAGGACGTTGCGAAGTTGCGACATGTCAGGACGGTACAGAGGTCCGTTTATGACATGTCAGTGACCTGACCTGACATGACCTGAAAATGCGGTTGTGTCACAAGATCCGGCTTGGATCAAAGGTCAGATATCCCAAGCTTTAGCTCTCTATCGCCGGAGTGTCCCGAGCTATCGCGGGAACACCCCTAAAGGGGCGGCACCCCCCTCGGCAGGCAAGGGTTTAGGGGGATTTTGTTTTCGTTTTTAGCACTTTTACCACTCCCCGTCTCTGAATGGCTCATTTTCGACTGAACCAACTCCAAAGGCAGTGACTGTAAGTGATATTCCGTGACCTCAACTGATTTTTTCCCGCAGGCCGTGTGCAGCCGAAATCGACTGGCAGCGTTCATCAGGCGTTCAGCTCCGCGGCCAGGCGTAAACTCGAAGACCGAAAAGCACCAAAATGACGGTCCCGCAAGCCTGCACAGCACTAAGGTACTTTCAGGACGAACACGAATACGGGCGTGATAGAGATGATACTCGGTAGCCAGCAAACAAAGGGCGAGTTCAAACAAACCATCCTATATTTACACTCCTCTCCTATATCTTAACCCGCGCCCTGCTGGGGGGGGTGTTTGAACACCCCCCCCCTGTGGTTTTTCGCGAATATCTCAAAAACGGCGGCGCGGAGCGCCGCCGTTTTTGGTACACCTTATCATACATCAATTCTACACATGTTGTGAAAATTTCAGACCAAGGTCATTCAAGGTCAGGTCACCAGGTCACTCGAAGTGACCTCACCTCATAAAAAGTTTCAATGTCTGCCATAGCTACACCGAGTGACCGATCGCTTTGAAACTTTCAGCGATTGCTAAGAGCATTAGCATGTACAAAATGTATATCTCAGAATTTTGATATCGATGACCTAAGGTCAGGTCAATTTTGCGACCTCACCATTATAAGTCAATGGGAGAAAATTGAAATGCGCCTGTTTTGGACGAAAGACATTATAAACACTCCCAAACACTGAATTACAGGTGGTTTAGACACACTGAACATGAAAATGGTGTCTGTGACCCCTGTTTATGCCCTGAGGTCATCTTAGGTCACGAATGGTATCTAACAGTTTTTCGCAAATAACTTTTGATAGAGGCATGCTAGAGCGATGAAAACGCCTTAGATGTGTTCAGCTCGACGATACGGATCGACTGATATGCAACATGACCCTTTCCGGTCAGGTCATGACCTTGACCTGAGGTCAAATTTTCAAGTTGACCTTTCAAGGTCAAATTATAGTTCGTTCGATGCGTCTTGACGAGAGGAACACGATGCCGGTAAAAGTAAGCTCGTACAATGCTTGGGTCAAAAGTTATTGCAGAAAAACTGTTTCCGAAAAAATCGGCTATTTTTGCAGTTTTTGCCCCCTGCAGGCAAAACCGTTGACGTTAGGTCAAATATGAGAAAATTACTCAGAAAGGGCGTTAATAGGGCTATCGAATGCGCTTTTCCGCGGCGCTGTAGCTCTATTGGTTCCCGAGTTATGCGTTGGCTTCTTGGAAATTTTCGACATTCGACCTGGAAATCGGCGAAAATTTGCCTTCAATGACCTCTGGTGACCTGACCTTTGACCTGACCAAAAAATTGACCGAAGTGATTTCCTCATTATTTTTGACGCTCTTTCGAACGCCGCCTTCCGCGTATCGCTACGTGGCCCAGGAGCCGAGTTAGAAGGGGGGGTGTTCAAACACCCCCCCCCCAGCAGGGCGTGGAAATCCAGGACCCCCAGCCGGGCGCGGGTTAACAAAATGATGGTCGGTAAATACCCCGTAGAGTTTGCGTAGCACTTTGCAAAGGGCGTCGTCGCTCCTAGGAAAGGAGCGAAAGGTTTATACTGTATGTACATACGTTCATGATAGCGATAGCGATATCCGTCCCGACTGCGGCAGCCATATTGTGGCCGGTAACAGGGGGGGGGGGGTGCGGCTCTCACCCTGCGGAGACCCGGCTGCCAGTGACCTGAGACCCCCGCCCCGCCGCAGGATGCCCACCCGCTGCGGTCGTCTGCTGCTGCTGGTGCCACTACTGGTCGTGGCGCTGAATGTCTGGTGGGGCGGCTGGCGGCCGCCGCTCGACGTCCCGGCCGGCCGGCCTCTGCTGCACAGAGAGGACAGCGCAGACACCGCGCGCATCATCAGTCAGGCCGTCTGGCAGGCATCCAAACTGGATCCGTCTCAACCCATTAGCCAACAGCCGCCGATCCACGGTCCCAGGTCGTCCACTCGACCACCCTACAACCAACAACCGGGACCCACAGGTCCCCAGTTGTTCACTCAGCTGTCCACCAAGCAGCCGCAGCCACACGGAGGTTCTTCTCCATCTCCTCGGCCCACTGTCAGCCCACAGTCGTCAGAGAAGTCCCCTAATCCCATCCCTCGGATCCCACTCAAACACCAGAAACCAAACGAAAGTTCGTCTCCGCAGCCGGCTCCCGGCAATCCGACAGTAGCTTTGCAATCGACCGAGAAGGATTCCTGGTCCTCACAAATTGTTCGACTGCCACCAAAATCGATTCCCGAAAAGTCATTAAAACCGAACGGCACGCGCACCATCCTCTTCTGGAACAAGTTCTACAACAACGCCGACTTCTACGTCGGCTATGGCAAGAAGCCGTTCATCGGCTGCCCGCAGAGCAACTGCGCCACGACCAGCAACCGGTCGCACTTGGCGCAAGCGGATGCCGTTCTCTTCCACATGCTGAACGCGGTGCTGCCGCTGCCGGCACGCCTGCCGCACCACCGCTTCGTGTTCTTCCTGAAGGAGCCACCGATGCTGGCCCACATCCGCAGCCCCAAGTACCGTGGTGTGTTCAACCTGACGATGACGTACCGTCGCGACTCGGACGTGGTGAACGACTACTTCTCCACGCTGTCCGGCGCCGAGCTGACGCCGCTGCCCGACATCGGCAACCGCTCCAAGCCCGTCGCCTGGATCGTGTCCCACTGCGAGACGCCCAGCGGCCGCGAGCTGTACGTCGACGAGCTGCAGCGCTACATCGACGTCGACATATACGGCAAGTGCGGCCCGCTGAAGTGTCCGACCAAAGCGCACGGTGGCAAAAACCGCTATGAGTGCTACCGGACCGTAGCCAAACACTACCACTTCTACCTGGCGTTCGAGAACTCGCAGTGCAGAGACTATGCGACGGAGAAGCTGTCTCTGCCGCTGCGCTACGGCATGGTGCCTGTGGTGCTGGGAGACAGCCGGCACCTGTACGAACGCATCGCGCCGCCCGGCTCCTTCATCCACATCAGCGACTTCGCCGGACCGCAGGAGCTGGCCGAGCACCTGCACTACCTGATGTCCAACCGGACGGCGTACCAGCGCTACTTCCAGTGGCGGAGCCGGTACCACGTGGTGGACGGCACCGGCTGGTGCCGGCTGTGCAGCTACCTGCACGAGCAGCACGCGCCGCAGTACTACGACGATATGGGCAGCTGGTGGGTGGACGGCGGCGCCTGCAACTACGACACCGTCATACCGGAGCCGCCGACCGGCGACGAGACGGCCGCGGCGCGAGCCGGCAGCAGCGGCGCAGCGTGACGAGCGCCGGCCGCCCAGCCGCGGCTGGTGGCCGCGCGCCTCCGCACCTCCCTCATCACACCAGGGGGCTGGAGTACTCCTCGACTGCGGGTGTTTTAACGTTGTGGCCTTGTAAACGCTGTGAGATGAGGCATAATGTCCGTCAATGTGCAATGTTCTTGCTGTCCGGGTCGACCATGTTTGGCTAACACGTACTTTGTAGTTCGAGTGGTGGGCAACAATAGTGCTAGCTAATTGATCCAGATAGAATGGAGACGGTACCTTTCGCATGTGATTAGCATGAGTTAGCGTTTTGAGCGAGCATTGGTCGTTGAGCTAGGATAGGGGCAGACTACGCCAAGCTGTGCGGACAGCAGACACATGAAAACTTCTGTCTGAAATTTCTACTAATTAGCAAAAATGTTGGTATGTTTGTGAAAAAAAAAAACGAGATACGAAATGTACACACTAGCTCTGACTAGAAAGAGTCCTTACATTAATATCAATCCATCCGTCCACACACCTTGAATTGTACTCACAAATACTTATGTCATGGCAGCAATGTAATAGTGAGAAATGGCTCACGGTTCCACCCGCAAAACGCCATGACATTCCCAATTAGGTTACCAATGAACATCAGTGATAAAGCTGTCCGGCAAAGGCAGTAGAGTGAGCATTTCATGCTTTGAATGACTTATTTATTAAATAGCTCATGAGTGAATGTAGGAGTTGAATGATTACAGGGGTGTCGATTTGTGAAAATGGTTGGGGGTGCCCAGAGCTTTAACCCTCACCCGTATACATTGGGGGGGGGGGGGGTCGAACGGACCCCCCTCGGTTTTTCGCGAATAACTCGCGTAGAAAGCGCCCGATCACGACGAAACTTTCAGTAGTGCCCTCGTGTTGATCAATTTTCGATAGCTTCGATAGCATTCGATAGCTCTTTCAACGCTCTTTCGCCAAAGTAGTCCTCAGATTTGACCTCAGGTCATCGGCTTAGCATAAACTCTCCAGAGGGCAAAACTCCAGTAAAAGCCACTTATGAAAAAGTTTTTTTCTGTCATAGCTTTTTACTCGAGAAAGCCACGACATTTATTTTGCCAGCCATCATGTTCTTCTCAGCAAGACGCGTCGAATAAACTATAGTTTGACCTTGAAATTCCATTTTGAAATTTGACCCCGGGTCAAGGTCAAGACCGGACCGGAAAAGGGTATGTTGCATGTCAGTCGATCCGTTCAGTCGATCATCGCTCTAGCATGCGTCTACCAGAAGTTATTAACGAAAAACTGTTGGCTCCCTTTTGTGAACTGAGATGACCTCAGGTATATAAGGAAGGGTCACGTCATTTTCACGTCGGGTGTCATTTTCCAGTTCAGTGTGTCATGTCGAATTGTTAATAGGTGTTTGGAAGTGTTCAGAATGTCGTCCGTCCAGAAAAAAACGCATTTTATTTTCCTTCCATTGACACTGATGATAGATATCGGACTTTCGTCCCCGTCTTGAGGTGAGATGTTCGTTTGTCTGGCCGCTATGTCTGCCTCGAGCGGTGGAGTATTGGTTACAACTGCCGCCTATCACCGGGACAACCTAGATCGTTTCCCGCTGACCACAGGAGCTTTCGATAAGGTATGACGCGTACGGCGCAACGCCACCAACACCCAAGATCTTTCTATGGACCAAAGAACAACTGACGACGGCCGGAGAAGTAACTGGCCGAAATGTTGTGAAACTAACATCTCAACTCAAGACGGGAACGAAAGTCCGACAACTAACATCCGTGATACTAATGCCTCGTCTCAAGCATTCCGAAGAATTATCCCATGGACTTATAGGTAATGGGGAGGTGGCAAAATTGACCTGACCTTAGGTCACCGGTATCGAAGTTTCGAGATAATAGATATGTTACAGGGAGTTTGAGAAATCCGTGAGTTTGCAAACTCCCTAGTGAGTTTGCAAACTCCCTGACCCATCAGTGAGTTTGCAAACTCCCTGACCCATCAGTGAGTTTGCAAACTCACTAGGGAGTTTACAAATTCACTAGGGAGTTTGCAAACTCACTGACCGGTCAGGGAGTTTGAGAAATTTCAGAGTGATTGGGCCAAATAAAAACAAGTGTGCAGCATGTGGGTGGCATACGTGCCGTCCGTGATGTTAAAACAAAGGAGGCTAGCTCTAAGGCCTCGCACGCTGACAAAAAGCTTTTAGATCATATGCACAACATAAATACCTTTTTTATTTTAAACTGCTCAGTGATTTACCCATGCATGTACCGCCGCTTTATTTAGTTATACATTTATTTAGTTCACGTCCCAATTAGACCCGTTCCACTCAAGTGTGGCTATTCCAGAGTCAGGCTAAATATATCAAAGTAGAAACAGCTCACTGTTGGTCACTTATGCTAAAGTACAGGCACACGCATCAATTCACGCCCATTCCCACTCCGCCATAGACGTGTCATCGAGAGCCGGCGCTGCTGGCAGCCAGCCCAGCTGCGACTGGCGCACGCTGCTTGTTTGTTTTTGTTTTGTTGGGTTAGGCCCTTTCGGTCTGACAAGACCATTTCAGATTCGGACGAATGATAGGAATTATAGGGGGAGACATTGGTCTGGGCAGACACCCTATATGCAGAGTCGCCGGGGCTGAGCCCGTCCGAATTGACAGACCGACCAGCCCCCCCCAAGCACTCTTTGCACCCGGCTACGGGGTGCGCTCCCTCGGGAGCAGCGGTGCCGCTCCAAGGGAGCAGCCGGCATGAGATAAAGGTGCCTGTCCAGCCCGGAGTGGGGGTTTCGGCGTGGACGAGAAGGATTTCAGTATCCTGATTCCTGAGGATGGAAACGACGGAACGGAGGAGCACGTTGCTCCGAACCTCCCCTTCACATAGCCGCGAGTAGCATTTTTTTCGGTAAAACAATGAAGGATCTGTAAGCTTTTTGTCAGCGTGCGACGGTTATATAGGCCGTACCACTAGTCGCTTTTGTTTTAACATCACGGCCGGCACGTATGCCACCCTCATCTTACACATTTGATTTTATTTGGCCCAATCGCTCTGGAATTTCTCAAACTCCCTGACCGGTCAGTGAGTTTGCAAACTCCCTAGTGAATTTGCAAACTCCCTAGTGAGTTTGCAAAGTCACTGATGGGTCAGGGAGTTTGCAAACTCACTAGGGAGTTTGCAAACTCACGGATTTCTCAAACTCCCTGTAACAGATATATATTTTGTACAAACTGTTGGCCTTATCAATCGGTGAAATTTTCAAAGCAATCATCCACTGGGTGTGGGCATGACAGACATTGGTACTTCAATCGTTATTCGTGAAAAAACTGTCTACCTTAAGCGCCGCTATTTTGACTTGTTTACCCCGGTGACGTCATTTTTTACCTGACCTGAAAATGACCTCAGTAAAAATTGTAGACTTTGTCCGTTTGTATCCCATGCCATTTACCGTTTGTTTTATCTTGCTTCGTTCGCGAGATATCACGGGGAGCAGGTATCCGCCCCCCGTCGGTGTGAAGTTGGCGCGGAACGCGGATCCCCGTTGGTGCGCAGGTTAAACCATGATATTTCGGACCAAAAGACTATCTCGCCACTCAAAGCAAAACTTCAGGTCTCAGGACGTCCGGAACCGAAAACCCATTGACGCGGCACGAATGCGTCGCTGGCTACCAAATGCTGCTGTCTGGTATAAATAAAGCGAAAAATTGTTTCCATTTTTTACAACGCATTCTGATGTACGGTTATCAGAGCAGGGGCGCGGGAACTACTTTCAGACTGGAGAACGGGGGGGGGGGGGCACACCATAATTGAATTCAACCTAGGGTATACCCAAATCTAGTTTTCTCGCCGGTTTTAGGCCACTTATTTTTCATCCCTTGGCGTTTTCATCAAAAAAGAAAACATTGGCAAAAAAGTGCGATATATTCCGTCTGAAATCTGTGGGGGTACCGCACCCACGGCCCTAGAGTTGGGGGAGGGGGTAAACTGTCCCCAACTTCCCACTGCCCCCCCCCCCCGTTCCCGCGCCTATGAATTAGAGAAAACAATGCGTTCAAAGAATCGTAACAGTGATGCCAGAACCAACTTTGGTTGGGGGTGCCCAGAGCCCCTTGGGGAGTGCCCAACTCAGCATTGGGGGTGCCCGGGCACACCCAAAAGTATACAAATCGACACCTATGAATGATTACGTTAAATATCGTTGCACATGACAATGTAGCTGTAAAAGAATCATCAGCATACGAGCGAATGGATGTTTTTACTTGTTATTGATAAAAAACGATCACATGGTTTCTGTGTCAAGAGCATTCTGCTAGATCAAGGTATACAAGACATGAAAGATGAATACACGCGGAAGGCCGGTAGGCAACTGGTCCCATTTTGATACGTGCCTGTATGTATATAATTGCGACGGACTTCGGATTGTGTCACTGATTTTTGAAATGTATACGCATGGCCTCAGTGCTGCCACCAATGAAGAGCGAGGTTCCGCATGAATACACCGTTTTATTTAATTTGTACGCATCGGTCAAACGTTGGACGCTCAACGTATGTTCAAACGTAATGCATTTTACAATAATTTTCCCATAATACAACGCCATTATAGACTTCCGTGTACAACGTTCAGGAAGACCAGATGATCTTTGTTTACATTGAATATCATTAGGAGTTAAAACTTTAAATATATCATACAAACGATGGACTTAAGCCAAGGTACCTACTAATTAGAATCTATCACTTTCGACGTGCACTCTGTACTCTGATATAGCTTATAAACCTACGCGCACCCTTCCTATGACTTAACCCGCGCATGACTGGCGGGGAGGGGGCTTTAATGCGCTGAGAAAAAGCTTTCTGTCATTGATCTAGTCCTGGAGAAGATGTGATCCGTAGAAATTATCAGCGTCCAGTAGGTAGCAGACAGGTCATATGAATTAGGATTAGTGTAAATAGCCTAGTTGATATGGCGCACAGATGTATAGGCAGGTGCGTAAATTTGTGGCAAGGGGTCAGTCCCCCTGATTTTCGGCAGGGTGCGGGTGGGGATGGAGAGGGGACTCATATGGTGTTTGAGCCCGTCCGTCAACTCCGGGAGAAAGTCTGCAACAAACGTATTCCCATGGATATTTTGTCGCAAGCAAGTCATATCATAACACACGGACCCAGCCGGGGGTGAAAAGGGCGGCATTTGGCACTGGGCAGCCGACAACCGAGACAGGCGTCAGCACTCGGACTGTGCTTGGGGCTCTCGGCGACTGGTGGCGTGTTATCGGGGGCAGGTGTGTGTGTGCGTGCGTGGGCTGCGATGAGGTGCGGTCAGGGGGCTCGGAGGTTGGCTAAGGGTCTCTTGAGATCGGCTTTGGATCTTATAAGGTCCACGTGGGCAGTGGCGGATCCAGGGGGGGGGGGGCAAAATGGGCATTTGCCCCCCAACGGTATAATTTTAACATTACACCTATGGACGATGCATGGAAAGAATCGATAAATTGTTATGGTTTGCCCCCCCCCCCCCCCAAACTCTGAGCTGGATCCGCCTCTGCACGTGGGGTCATCAGAAGCAAAACCTCTTGGGCCCTATGTTGCCTGCAAATGGCCCTCAAGGACCAGTGGGACTTTCAAGTATCGGCGTGGAGCCTTCGGAGGTTGCCTTAGAGCCCTTAGAGACCGGCGTGGAGCCTTCGGATGTCGGCAAGGGACATCCTTCTGCTCCAGTTAGAACTGTACTCTGCGTTT